AAGAACTCAAAATTCTAAAATTTTCAGCATTAATACATGAACATGTTTTCTATCTGCCGACAAATTTCACTCATGATATGGAGGGTGAAACTCTCCCTAAAGTTGTTGTACCATACTGGTTGACTGACTTAATTATCTCTTGTGACTTCAGTAATGACATGAATAAGATAGAAGACAAATTGTTTGTCACATGCAAAAGATAAAAGGTAAAGAACAAAGATGGTTCTTTTATTTTGCGGGCTTGTTAAACATGCGTGAAAAAACACAGTAAGAAAGATAAGCGACTGTTAGATATTATTAAGAGACCTCCTCAGAACACTCTTTTCACCATTTCAAAATGATCTAATATCGACGTTTTGATAGCAAATGGACTCATTTTTTCTTTGTGAATTTTTAAAGCATGAGTTATCGTTTGCTAGCGCCACATTAGGAGTCTAGTACTACACTTACTGACATTATCTTGATCAGCTAATTTATTTAGAAGACAAACATCTGGGTGAGAGGTTAATGATCGATTGATTTAGTCTTAGAACACAAATCGAGAAAAAGGCACACTATAGTATGGATATGTCGATCTATTGACCTCATTTGAAAACACCGATTTAAAATATAGATAGGGCTGTCAACGACGACCAACCAGTCCTATCCAGTAGAGGTTTCGATTTCACCTCTGATTTTGAGTATGTGTGAATATCGCATTTTCGAATATTTTAACAGTTTAGTATCTGATCATTCGCTTTTCGAATATCTGAATAGCATATCTATGGAGATATGCTATTCGGATATAAAATATTCAATAACTGAATTCAAATTTTAGACTTGACACATATAAAAAAAGAATAGGACTATATCTATGCTATACTTGAATGAACGAAAGTCACTTTATTCATTGACATGTGTACTTTTAGATTACTGTATTCTGTCATTTCATTGCTTATCTACATTAGAAAGAAGCAAGAAATCTATATATTTTCTTGCGTCTCTATTCAAAACATATTTTAAATAGTATTGTTTCTTTGTTAACATGTCACATTTTTTAGAATAAAAAGTTCTACTCTTTATCTACATATTGCATTAGAAAACTGCACAATGTTTTGGCTTGTAATATTGATTACTTTCGGAATAATTTCCTATATGGTTTACAAGAAACAAAGAAAATCAGTGAAATTCGCTTCAAATATTCCTCAACAATATGATCATGCCATTATTATTGGAGGTAGTATTGGAGGAATCGTGACTGCTGCTTACATATCAAAATATTTCAAACGAATAACAATTATCGAATCAGATGATGTATTAAGTGATACATTTATGAAATCTTCACCCGATGAAATATTAGATTACCGTTGTCGTCTTGAAAGCCCAACATCATTAGGACGTACAGGTGTTAGTCAAATATATCAAGGTCATATACTTGAGAGTGAAGGAAGTAAAATTCTATTTGAATTATTTCCTCAACTAAAAGAAAAGTTATTAACTGAATATGATGCTTGTATTCATTCAATAAAAACCGAATCAAGATTCTCTGCCAGTGGTATACTATTAAATAAAAATTTAACCGAAGATTTTCATTGGTTGGGTGTTGATCGTTTTACATTAGAAATAGTGTTGAGAAAAGAATTGTGTTTACAATTTGGAAATAAACTTGAATGGAAATGTAATACAAGAGTAACACAACTAATTGTTGATCAATCCTTAATTATTGTTAAAGGTATAAAATATCGAATTAAACACGATGTTCGTTCGCCGTTATTTTGTATGTATGGTGATTTTATTATTGATTGTACTGGTCGCAATACATCATCAACCAAATGGTTAAAAGAAAGTCTCAATTTAATCGTACCAACTGTACAAATACATTTTGGTTTTGGCTGTGTTACATTTATTGGTGAAAGATTTAGAACTGGAGATCCGTTGCTGGATCTAATGCCTATTGTTGGTTGTACCGTTAATGCTCCTAATAGAAATACCGGATGTTATATAACTCCGATACGTACTATAAGAACAATGGATAAAAATTCATTAGGGACATTATCAGTAATTGCGATTTATTGTATTAATTCAGAATATCCACCAAATGATTCGTATGAAAATTTATTAGAATGGGCAGAAGAACATTTGGATCCCGAATATTATTTGATATTAAAATCAACAAAAGTATGTAGTCCGTTAGTTCCATATAGAAATGCGATAGATGATCGAAAGTATGTCGAATTATTAGGTAAACAATGGCCTCAAAATTATATATTGTTAGGTGATGCAATGTGTACATTTAATCCGCAATATGGACAAGGTATGACACATGCGTGTAGACATGCAAGAGAATTGGCAAAAATATTTGATAAGAATTGTCATAAGTTAAAAGATATTTCTCATATTTTCAATCGTCGTGCTTCAGCAATTAGTGAAGAATGTTGGCTTCTTTCGACTGCAAACGATTGGAAAACACCGACATTAAAAGTGACAAAAACTGACAAAAATGGTCAAATTAAAATTTATCAACGACGTGATGAATTTGTTCAAAGCAAGACTTGTCAACTGTGCGTACCTTTAAGGATTCAGCTTATACAATGGTATACTCCTTGGCTTCTTCAATGTGCATCCAAATCTGGACAAGTGTCTACGGACCTTTTACGTGTTGTGAATCAACACACTCATCCATTTACACTACTGAAACCAACAACATTCTTAACAGTCTGCTACAATGTATTAATGAGTTATTTTAATTTATCTAAAAGATTATCTGCTTAACACGAATTCTTGATTTCTCTTTATATCGAAACTTCTATAATTTGTAGAGTTTCAAAGGTTCAATTATCAATCACTTCAGGATGTGGATGTCTCTTTGCTCAAATCATTGAAGATCATTGACAACAAGGAGCAATAGTGGTCGGTTGATTTTTGATGATTTTTGATGATTTCTGATTAATTTCTAGCAGAAATAGCGAAATGAACAATGAGTTGGTGACTCGTATCATCAAATGAAATTTGTTGAAGGGATCCAGCGATTTTTTTCGTTGAATTCTGCTGCGAGAAAAAGATTTTCCTGCAAAATTTTCAAGGGTTGAATCATGAGTCCCTTCTATCATATCGCATATGATTTCTAATGGTTTCTGCTGATTTCTGATGTCAAAAATCGTTAGAAATCATTCAGCAATCCACGAAATCCGTCTTTTCCCCCTTCATGCAACCTATCTTTTTAAGTCACTAGAGCTTTATACAAAATGACGGAAATTTCCGATTGGATATAGCTACTGTTTTATTCGCGTTGTCCTTGAAACAGAAAAATGGACGTTCACGAACTAGAGTGTCGGTGTGTGTGGGCGATCGTGTGCGTGTACATGTGAGTGTCGCTCTTTAGCCAATCCGCACGAACGTGTATACCCACACCCTCGTATTTATCACTTCAGGTATTTTGCTCTGAGATTTGTATCGTTTTTAACTAAACCATGTACATGATTGATTGATTGACATGAAGTTTCGTCTAACTTGTAGAAATACCCAATTTTGATCTGTCGATTTGCTCGAGTATGAACCACGTAATTGATCTTGGAATAGTGAAGTGAAACGGACGTGAGCAGAATTCATTTCGATCATATCTAAGCTGGCTTCATAATAAAGACTTTCTGATATAACAAACAACGATAGAAGACATCTTCTTATCATGATTCTCGCCCATGATCGATTCCATCTCATTCTTTCTCTGTTCTCCTGTGGTTCTTTCATTTTGTGCAATTTCTCACCAAGTTTATCATACACTCTTATGAATTTCCTCTCTCTCGCTTCGTTTCTATTGTTTAATATATGCTTGATTTTTTTTTTGTGATGCGAGAAAGAGACATTCGATGGATTGTTTGCATGAAAATAGGTTGTTGAAAATAAAAGCTCACAATTCTATCGTTGAAAATCAGCAGTTTGCGTTCTAGACATTCACGAAAAATTTTCTTAACATTCTTGCGAGAGAAAATTGTTCAAGAAAACAACTGAATTTTCCTCCTATTTGCTAGATAGTTCATATCAACAATAGAACATGAATTCATGATTTGAATCCCTTTCCACCGAAACTATTGTTTGATTGCCTTGATTATTTATCCCCATTCGATTTATTTTAAATTTGCATCAATCTCAAGACTAGTCTAAATGTCATTGTTCATTTTTATTCACTTCGATTGGCTATTCGACCAATCTGTCGATCAAAATTCGATTTTATTTGTCGTCATCTCCAACCAAAACAAGCTATTTCATTGATTCTTTGCGATGAATACGTTCCTGATCGAGTAAAACTTTTGCTCGATCATTTTTCACATTTTAAAGGACAATTTCTTATCTTCAGTCTATAACATTGATCGTAGCCGAAGCTATTACTTTCATCGATTTACTCGTATGCGTTTCATCGGTATCAATCAGAATTTATGATGCTGATGATTATTATAAAAATGTCATTAGTGAAATATTGTCTTGACAAGCGAAAGTATTAACTCATTTAAAAATCGATAATAAAGAGTTACAGCATCTTATTGACATTCGCTTTTTAGCTCTTAACTATTTGATTATTGGTGGAGGATGTTATTAGGACAGTGAATATATTGATGTGTCTCCTTCATTGGAGAATACCGATGCTCATTCATTAATTCAACAATGGCAATGTTTTCTCACTCATTTTTATCTTGTTATCGATAACAATTAAAAGTCAACGTTCCACATTTAATCTTGATCGATTGTCTCATTGTCTCACTCATCTTACATTACACTTTTACCAAAATAAAGAAAACTAATGAAAAGTTGATTTTCATTTTCGATCTGATATTGTAGATATTCAAGTATCCTTTATATATCTTGAACGATGTCTAATTAAATTGTCTCAATTGACAAATTTCACTTGTCAAGCAAGTGGTTCATGGGATTTAGTCTATGGGAACAATTACTTTGCAAAAGACGAATTGTTCGATTTAATTTCAAATTCAAGTTTAATCTCATTTGTGAAATTTCATCCATAGTAGAACCATTTCGTTCATCATTTTGGCTTGAACAACGATATTGATGTGTTGGATATTGTCCAAATGGATCAGAGAGAGGTGCAATTGTCTATTCGATACCTCGATTTCGAATGCGTACGCTTAAGTATCCTTCAGCTAAATTTTTACACATGACAACAGCATCATCGGATATTGAACAAAACCTTTTCTATTCAAGAAGAATCAATTATTTCTCTTGTGGTATGAATAAATTAATTACATCAACCGGTGATCGTTTCAATCAAGTCAGAACATTAACACTTTCAGGTTCCTCATTATTATCATTAGGGTGTAGGTGTGGGTGTGGATGTCGATGTCGCCGAAAATATGCCCGCGAATGTCACTTGAATGTAAAGGAAAAAAAGAGACACTCACACCCAACCTGAGTTGAAATTTAGTCATATAGTTCCTCCCTAATAGCTACTAACTACAAAAATTTTCAAGTTTTTGATCTG